ACCTCGGCCACACGCGGGCACCGGCTTCCACTAGCAGAGGGCCCAGCGTTTTCCCGGAGGTGCCCGTCCGGGCCGGGCCCACCCACCGCACCTCTGGAGCCTTAGGTCCCGAGCCGGCCCAGGGGGCAGAGGGTTGGAAGCCGCCCATTGCAGATCTGAGGCCAACTGCCCTCCCGCCACCCCACCGCGAGGTCACTGGCCCAGGCCAGGGGGTGGCTGGCTGCCCCAGTGGCTCCCGGCAGGCTGACGATTTCCTGGCATCCCGGCCAGCAGGTGGCCGGGGGGAGGCATTTGCAGGAGGCCATACTCTGGCCCCCGGGGTCTTGGACTCCGGTGGCTCAGATGGAGACACACCCTGGGCCCTCAGCCCAGCCGTGTCCCCGCTGGCCCCACGGCACCCTCTGTCCTTCCCTCCAGCCTCGTCAGCACAGCCCGAGTTGGCGTCACTCTGATGCCGGTGCCCTGTGCCCTGAATCCACTTGGCTGGCCTGCCCCCAGGGCCCAGCTCTTCCAAAACAATCTGGGACGAGGACACGTGCCCCTCCCCCCGTGGGCAACGTGGTGGCCTCCGGCCTAGGGGGCCTGTGTCGCGCCCTCTGTCACGCCCTGCCCCGGAGCAGAGCAGGGCAGGGAGGCGGGCCCGCCACTGGGCGCCGGCCCTCAGCAAGTCCCCGAGGGGAAGCTGCACCCGGGTCCCCGCAGTGGCTCCCGCGCCGGCCCCTTGTGGGCCCCGGGGAAGCAGGCGGGCACGGAGGTGGGGGGTCTGGCCGCCATTTTTCTCCGGCCGGTACAAAGACTGTCCCTGTAAAGCTGCCCTGGCCAGGGCACAGACCGGCCTTGTTCTCTGCCCCTGTCGTTGCCTCCTTCCCTCTGCTCACAGGGCACGAGGGGGAGGAATAGCTAATGACAGGCGGCGCCCTGCCCGGGTGGGGGCCTTTGTTCATTCACTCGACGGCGGGCACTTCCTGGGTGCCTGCTGTGTGCCAGGCCCGCGTGGGCGACCACCGAGGGCAGGAAGCCGGGCTCCTCCCTCTGGGCGGCCCGGGTCAGCGGAGCACCTACCAGAACGGCATGGGGGTCGCAAGTGCCGAGCGCTCAGAAAGGACAGCGCAGCTGGCCGGGTGGGGTAGAGCTGGAGGTGGGAACGAGGGAGCGGGGTCTTGAAGGGTGAGTAGGAGTTTGCAGCTGGAGCAGATGTGAAGAGCGTTCCTGGCCACAGCACAGACAGAGGTGGTGGGAGAGCAGGGGATGCCCGAAGGGCAGCGGGCCCCAGACGCCGGGTGGCTGGCACCTGGCCGGGTGGCACCGGTGACGATGGGTTCATCTGAGGAGCCGGGCTGTGGCCTGGGCGCCACCAGAGTTTACACGGGCAGAGGTGGGAGCAGAGGAGCAGTTGAGGAAGCTGCCGTGATCGACCCACAGGCTCCGGGCTCAGCCAGAGACACGTGAACGCCACCCGAGGAGCCCGGGAGGGCAGGGAGGGACGCGCTGGCCCTCTGCCGGGCACCACCTGGGAATCTGCCTCTGCCGCTCTCTTCGGGCCGGGACCTGAGGGCCGCGTGCTCCCGCCTCGGGGTGACGTCCCCAAGGACCCATGTTTCCACGCCAGCCTCTGGAGGGCAGTGAGGACGAGGCATGGGGAGAATCCAGACTTCATGTCCCTTTTTCTGGAAGTTTCCCTGACCCCGCAGGTCCCTGTAAGTGCCCTCAGAGCTCTCGCCCTATGAGCCTGGGAGGGCCGAGGGCAGGATGGGAGGGGGCAGCCCAGGTGGTTCTGTCACAAGCCCACTTGAGTCTCAGAGCCGCCTTGAGTCACGTGCCCACCATACAGAGGAGGAAGTTGGGGCGCAGAGAGGCAAGAGACAGCTCGTGGTGGGCAGAGCAGGGCACGTTGGGGAGGGGTGCGGGGGGTACAGGGAGAGGGGGGCCCCCCTAAGTCACAGAGGGGCGAGGTGGGGGGGTGACCAGGGCATACGTGGCCCGCGGCAGGGCCACTGAGGCCGTCCGCTCTGCCCGGGAGACTGGGGTCCGATCCCGCGACCCTGCCCCGACTTTGTGCATCCTCGCTGTCTCCTTTGTGTCTCTGCCCCTTCCCTCCACCCCTCTCTCCCCTCTCTCCGTCACCCTCCCCCGTGTCTCTCTGTCCCCCTGCTCACGACTTTCCTGTTTCTCTTTCCTCCCTCTCTGCCTCAGTTTCTCCATCCTCCTCTTCCTTCCTCTGTGTGTGTGCATCTGTCTGGTTCCTTCTGTCCGTCCCCCCACATCCTGTTCTGTCCTGGCAGGGCCTGCTCCAGGCCAGAGGGGTCTCTCGGCCCCTTTCTCCGTCACCCTCTCTGCTCTCTTCCCACTGCCAAGGGGCACAACTTTGCTGGCTTTCCTGGTTCAGCCTTTGCAGTGTGGTGCCTCTGAGGCCCTGCAGGTCACAGGTCACTGGCCAGCACGGAGCAGGGCGCTCTCTTACGCCGTTGGACAGAGTGCAGTTGCCCAGTGGACCTGAGGGCGGGCGGCCCAGAACCGGCCCCCTCCTGGAACCCCGGCTCCTGGGGAGCCACAGCCCACGGCAGCGTCACGCAATTAAGACATAAAAGTCCGTGATTTCCTCTGTGTGTTGGCAAACACCGGCCGGCTGCTAATGCAGTCCTTTCTTTTAACGGATTCTTGAATTTAAATGATACGTAATTAAACCTAATTAGCCACGTATGCCATTCGGCTAGGTGCCGTATGCCGAGCGAGGCTGGTGAGAATCTCATTATAAAGCATCTTCTTTCACGGGCAGATTTCTCGTTCCTTCTCAGGGTCGAGTTCATTTGACTGATCGGGAAGCCGGGCCCGGGGGCCCGGGGAAGGTGTCTGAGGAGGGCACCCAGGGACTTGGATGATGAGCCGGGGGGGGGGGGGGTTTGCTGGGAGAAGTCTGGTTCCTTTGAGCAGCCCACCCTGGCCTTGCCATCGGGGGGCAAAGCTGGGAGTGCCGCGGGGACTGGGGCTGGGAATGTGGAGCAGGGCCCAAGGGTCACCACCTGGACAGGTGCAGTCTGAAGCCGGCCCGGCCTGGCTGTCCCCCTCCGGCCCTGGTAACCCCCTCATGGGTGGAAGAGGGCCGTGGGCCCCAGGGATGGCTGAAGGAGGCCCCAAAGGGCACGTCCAGGCTGGTGCAAGACTCGAACCTCGTGCACACAGGCCAAGCAAGAGGGGAGACCAGCGGCGGGGCCTGGCGGCGGGGGAGCAGTGATGCCCACCAGACGCCTGGCCTCCTGCCGGCCGCTTCCTGCAGGCACATCTGCGAGGCCCCCTGAGCTGCGCCCTCACTGGTGCGGGGGCTGCCGGGGCTCCAGGTGGCCGGGACATCCCCCTGCGGTCCTGGTCCCAGCCCGCCTGCCCCTCTCACTCCAATGCCTGTGGCTACCTGGCACCCCCTGGGTCTTCCCTGTGCCCCGTATACTGACGTCTGTCCCCCCACCAGCCCGTGTGCCTAGGATGGGGCCCAAGGCTGGGCTGCAACTCCACCTCCCTGCCAGCGCCCACACCGCATCCGGGTTCTCACGGGTAATGGCGCCGAACACCCGCACCCGCTCCTGTCGGCTGCTGCGCCCCTCGCAGGGCCCGTGCCTGCACCTGTTACTACCTCTGTTTAGAGACAGGGGCACCAAGGCACAGAGGCGTAAGGTGCTTGCCCACGGTCACACGGCGGACGGAGGGTGGAGCCAGGCTCATCCTCGGGGCGCGGAGGAGGAAACTGAGGCAGGGAGACAGTCGCCAGGGTCGGGTTTATTGCCGCTCAGGTGCTCTGTCTTCCTCTCTCTCTGAGGGCCCTCCCCACCCACCGTCCGCCCGCCTTGCTGAGCCCTGGGCTCAGAGCTGCCCGGAGAAGAATCCCCTCCCCTACCTGCTCGGGGACCTGAGTGTTGGGGGCAGGTCAGCAGCCTCAGGGTGACCGGGCGCCCCTGCCCGTCAGTCTGTACTGGGGAGGGGCACCGGCACGCCGTGGAGCCGGGCATGGCCAGTAGCACCCACCGGATGCTTCTGGACGGCGGGAGGTCCTGAGCGCTGGCTCTCCGAGGACGGAGAGCCTCCTGCAGGAAGGGCTGTCCACAGAAACCCTGGGCGGTTGGGAGGCATGAGCGCCATCCTGGGTGGAGAAAAACGGAGAGGCCCCGGGATGGCGGGTGGCCGGAACCAGAGGTCTGCAGGCCTTCTTTGCAGGGACCCAGGGAGTAGGGGCCGGTTGAGGCTCTGGGAGCCACATGCTGCATAGTTTTTAAAAATTTATTTATTTTGAGAGAGAGCGGGCACGTGTGTCCTGGGAGGGGCAGAGCGAGGGGGAGGGAATTCCAAGCAGGCTCTGCACCGGCTGCGCAGAGCCTGATGTGGGGCTCGAACTCACGAACCGTGAGCTCATGACCGGAGCCAAGATCAAGAGTCAGATGCTTAACCTACTGAGCCACCCAGGCACCCCTGGCATATTCTTTTCTGTTTACAGTAGCTGGAGGGCTGCACAAAAGCAGGCTGCAGGCAGGGTTTGGCCCAGGGGCCACAGAGAACAGGTGCGGTGATGGGAAATAGGTGCCTTGTACTTGTCATATAATTTGCATTACACATGACTTTGTTATGTACCCATATGTGTGTATACGAAGAACACTAAAAACGAGCAGGGTGATGGGTTTTCCCCTCCACACCACCCCTGTAACCACCACCCAGGTAAAGATCTAGAACGTGGCCAGCACCCTCAATCATTCCCCCCCCAAGAAGTAACCATCTTCTGGCCTCTGCCCTGTAGAGACTGGTGGCACCCATTCCTGAACTTGGCAGAAGTGGGTCATCCACTTTGGGTTCCTTGAGCCTGTCGTGCTGCCCGTGGAGCCCAGCCACGCCGCAGCGTAGACAGCAGCGCCTTCTGAGTGGCGCCGTCGCGGCGTCGCGGTGTTCTGACGCGCGCACCTCCCGATGCCTGTCTCTCCGCGGCCCTGTTGTCCAACGTTTGCGCCGTTTCCCCCCTTTTGCCATCGTGACCGAAGCCGTTAGGAACATTCTGGTCCGTGTCCTTCGGGGAACATGTTGTGTGCACACGTAAGAGTGAAACTGGTGGGTCGCAAGGAGGGGCCAACGCACGGTTCGCTAAGTGGCCAGGCCACACACAACCTTTTGACGGTGACCCGTACCTGTTTCGGCACTGACACGGGGTGACACAAATGTTCAGTCCCCGCATCCATCGGGTTATGGCTGTGATGGCAAGAATGAAATAATCCCCTGGGAAACCTGCCCTGCACTCACCCTCTTGTGTTGTCTCCGAGGCTCTCGGTTTGGGGCCTCCGCAGCCCCGGGGGAGCCACTGGGCCGACCCTTTAAAACGAAAAGTAGGTTCCCTTGCTCTAAAAGGACAGCCGTTTCAGGGTAAAAGTGCTTTGCAAAAACCAAACCCTTCAAAAGGGAGTTTGGCTTTTAGGATGTCATCAGAACCCGTGTCAACCACTTCCTTCCAGACCAGGGTGGGAGCTTCCGAGGTGGTGACCTGGGGGGATCTGAGTAGCAGGTCCCACAGTGTGCGGTGGCAGAGGGGTGCCCCACCCCCCCGCTGCCACCGGGCTCGAGCTAGAGCACTGGGGAGGGGGCTTCTGGTGGCCGGGACCTGAGTCTCCGGCTCACAGCCCCAAGGACGAGGTCCCAGCCCTTCCCACGCCGTCCAGACAGTCGGGGTGTCCCTAGGAGCCTGCCCCGGGGCCCTCCCCGCGGCTAGGCCTCCAGTCCCATCACGGTTCCGCTCCCACATGCCCACCTGCAGCCCTGCTCCACCTCAAGACTCAGGCCACGGTCCCCCCTCCAGGAGCCCCCCTATGTGGGATCCCCTTGGTGCCGTGGGGGCCCACAGGTGTCTGCGTTTCTGGCGTGGTCACACTTCCCTTGTGCTCAGTGTCCACCCAGACCTCGGGCGCAGTCTAGGGAGGGGACGAAGGCTTTGGAAGGTTCTAGGCCCCAAAATCCCAGGCAGAGAGCTGCTTTGCCAGAAGCCCCCCCCCCCGTTTCGTGGGAGTGACCTCAGAGGACAGTGACCAGATGGCAGGGGGACCCCCCCCCCAGGGTGTGGGCAGGAAGGCGCTCTGAGTGGGTTGAGCTCATGGCCCTACTGTCAAGGGTGTGACGTTTCTGCCGGAAGCAGGGACGGAGCAGGGGTCTGTGGTCACTCTGCTCCAACGGAAGGGGTTTGGAGAGGTAACCAGGTGGGGAAATAGGAGGGGAAACGTGTGCGCCGGGATGGGGATGGCTGGGATTGGGGGGGCGGGGGGGGCACATCTGTTAGCCGGGCGCAGAAGGTTCTGGAGGTTTCCCAAGGGCAGGCCAGGCCTATACTAGAAGCTGGGAGAAAGAGGGGTCACCGACGGTCTAACCTGTAGCCCTGCTCTCCAGGCCCAGTGACGAGCACCATCCAGAAGTGAAGGCTGATGGGTACGTGGACAACCTGGCAGAGGCCGTGGACCTGCTGTTGCAGTACGCGCACCAGTGATGAGCCTCGTAGGGTCGCCCCGGCCTCATTCCTCCCCTCCCCCAGTGCCCGGACCACCCAAGGCCCTGCCCTCTGCCCTTGGCCCCGGATGGGCAGGCGAGAAGGTCCCAGCCAGGCACCTCTGGCTGCCCACTTCCTTCCTCTGTCTCCCTCTGCTTCCCCCCAGTCCCCCCGGGGAGAGCTGTTCTTTCCGGGATGTTCTTTCCCGTAGTGAGGTTGGAGGGTGGGACAGACCTGTCTGGGAGCCAGCTCAGGGGAACACTCTGGATATGGGCTGGAGGTGCTCCGGGGACACCCCGGATCCCAGGTCCACAACTCCCTAGCCGCACCTGGTCCTGTAAATGCTCCACCTACGGGGACTGGGACACCTCCCCACTGCGTCTCTACCAAACGTTCTTTTCTCACGAGCGAGGAGCCTGGAGAAGGCAGGGGCTTCCTGCACAGTCCACACAGTGCAGAGCTGAGCCAGCCTCCCTGGGACTACCCAGCGACCCCTGCCCACCTCCCGGCCCCCACCCAGAGTCGGAGTGGCCACTTAGCACCCATCCCCCACCCCCACCCCCCGCCAACCGCGACAGCCCACTGCCTTCCCTACCCCACAAGTCATCTTGGAGCCAGAGGCTGGGGCAGCTCCCAGGGGCACCGAAGATGGCCGTCCTACAGAGCAAGACTTGTAACCACTGGGATCAAGGCTGCAGGCACATAGGGTGCTTCTAACTCGACAGACTTGAATGTGTCATGCCCGGTGTCTGCAGGGGCAACTGTGGGTTGAATAAACTGCCCTGACCTACAGCTGACTCCGGCTTTGACTCAGAATTCGACTCCGGGAGAGGCTGGGGATGGGGAGGGCTGTACAGGGCTGGGCACTGGCCTGGTCCTGCCGTGCACTTGAACCACTGAGCGCCAGAGCCCCAGGGCTCCCGAGACATCTCACGTGTCCCAACCCCGTCCGGGAAACGGGGGCCCTGCGGGGACAGCAGGCCGCCCTCGGCCCCACCGGGGGACCGGGTCGACCAGGGCAAATGTTGGCCCGCTGTCACGGGCAGCCCTGTGGACGGTGGTGGTGAGCCACAGGCTTCCAGAATTCGCTCACAGCCCGGGTTTCGGGTTTTGGAATCAGTCAGCCCAACAGATACTCTGCTGTGTTTCTCCTCAGATCAATCCAGACCGATTGGAGAATCCAGGATTCCCCTCCGATCGATCTTACCAAGACGGATAGGTCTTGGGAGACGACTTCGCATAAAGGAAGCCCTGGGTCCTCCACAACAGGGTTTCCACTGAGCGCAGGCAGAGGCAGGATAAAAGGCCGGACCCTGAACCCTGAGCCCCCTGGCACGGAGGTCCAGGGCCGGCGGGGGCTGTGCTGTCGTCCCCAGGCAGGCCGGCCACCATTAAATCAGGATTAAGAGGAGCCAGTGGCCAGGCCTTTTCATCAAGATGAGAGGCCACCGGCGGGGCTGCTGTCACTGGCGGCCGAGGGAGGAGGGGCGTTTGGCCTATTAGCTGGAAAATATGCAAACTGCCTGCGCCTCGACAGAGTCCCCTAATTACAGCTTGCTAGATCAGCCGGCACCCGGTGGGCTAAGCTCATCGGGGCCTGGGGGCCAACGTCCAGGAGACGGGCTTGCCACGTTCCGGTCAGTTTGCCTTGTGGGTCTTTGGTTTCCCTTTTCTCTTCCTTTTCTTTTTCACAGGCTGTCCTTGTCCACAGGGGTCTGCGGCGGATACGGGAGGCTGGTGTTCTCTGTGCCTGCCGCCCGGGAGTGGGGGCGGGGAAGCGTCTGAAGGACAGCTCTGGGGGCCGCAGACGGCTGCTGGGTCTGGGTGAAAACCGTGGTGCCCCTGGGCAGTGGGTTCAGCGAACCCCACTTTACAGACAAGGAAACGGAGGTGTGGAGAGCAAGGACCCGCCCACAGGCTGACGGTAGGTAGTAAGGGCCGAGCTGAGACTCGAACCAAGGTCCGACCCATGTCCATGTCCTCCCTAGTCCCTCCCACAGGCCTTCCGCGGGGGTGGCCTGTGGTGGCCCGCTGGCTGTGACTTCCCAGGTGAGCCCGCACACTGGCGTCCTCCCTCTGGAGACGACACGTTCTCTGGGACTGAGGTGCATTCAGCCCTAACGCCAGGGGGACCGTTCCGGAGCCTCGGCTGCCCGATCTGTAAAGGGGTGGCTTCCTTTCCTTAACGGGCACCCCGAGCACTGCGGGGGACCAGGCCCCTCCAGGATGCCCTGTCACCCGGCTGGGGGTGATGGCCCCTGTCCTGCTGCCACTCAGGGCGATGGTCCCTCACCCCCGGGGCCTCCCGGCTGCCCACCGTAGCCCCTCCTTCCCAGCAGGGTTGGGGGACAGTTCTCAGGCCACAGGCTGACAAAGCCATCGGCTACGGGGCGGGGCTGGCGCTCAGGGCCGGCAGTGGCCTAAAAACCCTTCGGTCAGGAGTCCACCCCGGAGCTGCTGCCGAGAAATGGACCCCGCAAACCCAAGGAACGCGCCAGGCTGGCCCCCCGTGCCCTTGCGGCCAAGCCCCGGAGTGAGGCAGTGGTCTGGGCCCCACCACACTGCCCGGCAGGACGTTCCAGGTTCTAGGGGCGACCAGAACCCCTTCCGGGAGGGGGAGGGGCGGAGAGGACGACAGTCTGTGCAGTATCACCTCTTCGGGGGCAAAGGGCTTCACCCACCCCCAGACCTTCCGACACGCGCCGTCCACGTGGGACCGGCCCCGGCTGCACCCGGCGCCTGGGAAAACCGGATTCAGACGGGGTTCATCACCTAGCAGGAGGGTTTCTGTCTCACATCGCCTCCAAGTCCAGGGCCGGCTGGATCCGGATGCCCAGAAATTCCCAGGCGACGCTGAGGTGGGGCAAGGGTGCCCCCCCCAAGCTCCCCCAGGAGAGAAAGGAGGCCGCGTGGCAGCGGGAGGGCCAAGGAGGATGTGACCTGAGGCTGGGAACTGGGCCAGGAGTCTGAGGCCTCAGCACGAGGCCTGGGCCTTCCTGTGGGGCCAGCGCTGCCCCTCTCGGGCAGACAGGGGCACAGAGGTGGGGACGCGGGGAGGAACACGCGTGCGCCTCCTGGGGACTCACGGTACCAGCTCCCGCCTCAGCATGACTATCCGGTGGGCTTACCTTTTCTCTCCCTCAGGAGCATCCCGTTTAGACGACAAACATACTGGTCTAAAAAGAAACCCAGAGTCACTCAGGGTCTGACCACAGTGACCGTTGAAGGGTGTTTCCTTTCGGCCGTCCTTCCATGAGAAGAAGAAGGTTTCGATACGCTCTGGATCGTCCTGCACGTCTGCTTTGGTGCTGGGGAGCTTGGGGCTCTGATTCTCTCCGTTGCCTGACATCAGAGGCAGGGGTGAGCTGGCCCGGGAGGGAGGGCAGCGAGGCTGCGAGGGAGGGCACCGCAGAGGGCCCTCAGCCGGACCTGATGGCAGGGCGGAGGAGGGCCGAGTGGCACCCGGCGAGCCCAGCGCCCTGCCACCGGGGGCGGCACAGGGTGAGCAGCGGGGTGGCCATCGCCGGGCAAGCCGAGCTGGAGAGCGGGTGCCCCCGGAGCGAGGCCGGCGTGAGGCAGGGGCCCAGCCAGGGACACATAAGGGGACGCGAGGGGCTGGGGTCTGTCTAGGGCCGCTCTGTGCCCTCCTGAGGGGGGGGGGACGCACACGAGGCAGGGTCCCTGGGCCTTCCCCCTTCCCCCAGCTGCAGCCACAGCAGCCATGCCTCCCCTGTGTCGTAAATTAGGTGTTCTTACACCATTCTGGAACAGGGCCCGTTGCTAAAAAGGAAACAAACACACGAGCCGAGTCCAGAGTGTACCTCACACCCGGAAGGGCACCGTCGGGACCTCGCTGGTGGAGGGTCTAGGCCGAAAGTCTGTGCTCAAGTTTTACAGGCTTCTCAAGCCCATCCTCGAGGCTGCACGTGTCCCGAACGTCCCGAGCTTGGTCAGCCAGGGGTCCCCGACGCGGAGGGCGAGGCGCAGGGACCGTGTGCCCCGGAGCCCGCTCTGGCTCAAGCCGCGCGCGCTGGCCTCTCCCTGGCTGGCGGGGTGCTGCCCTTGGACCGGCCGCGGAGGAAGTGCCCCCTCTACCTCCAAACACGTGCGCATACACGTCACCCGGGCTGCCTGCACGTTGCCTCTAGGAGGGCTCCCTCGTGCCCGCAGCCAGCCCTCCTGCTCCCAAGAGCTTACTCGACCCTTTGCATCGGAGCCTCCCGACAGCTCAGAGATGTCTGCTGTCCCCATCGTACAGACCCGGCCCCGAGACCCGGAGGAGACAGAAGGGTCCAGGCTCTGCCCCTGCCAACCCAGACCTAATGCTCCCGTGGACCGAGGGGGGACCCACCGAGTTCCCCAGAGCTGACAAACCACACAGCAGGCTCCCAGCGGCTGGGGACTGAACCAGGAAGCTTTATTTACACAGTAAGAATAACAAGCAGATTCCTGAGAGACTAGAGCGGTGCTAGTGCAAGACGGTCGCGGCCTGCGTGGGAGGACGGGCGGCCGGGGCGGAGGGCGGCACACAGACGGCTCTGTCCCGGGCAGGGCCCGGCCCGGTGCCACCCGCTCCGGCCGCCACACTTCCTGAAGCTCTGCGGCCCCGACGACGGTCGGTTCGGGGAAGCACGCTACGGCCCCCGAGTCGGCCCGCGAGCCGTCACCGAGCCCCCGGGACATCCCCCCCCACGCGCTGAACACACAATTTATTTGCCAAAGAGACTATGCTAGAAGATCAGACTATCCTACCTAGGCTACGAGATCTCTGCTGTGGTCTGGGTTCTTTTTCTCTTTTATTATTACCGTCTTTTTCTCTTCTTTTCTCTTTAACAATTAGGCAGTGTTTTCTCGGGCTGGAGCCAATGGGAGGGGTTTGACCAACTATGTGGATGTGGCAAGGTGCGGTGTCATGGCCCGTACGGGGAGCACAGCACCCTGGACCGCCCCAGCCTCGGCCCTGGCCGAGCCCCGTGCCTGGGGCACTGCTCACGCCCAGGCCCGAAGCAGTCATCGGTCAGGGGACAGCCCCGAGGCCACAGCGTGCACGTGACTTGAGCCTCCTGGGCAGACATGGAGGCGCGGCCCACACCGTGGCAGAGCCTCCGGGGCTGTGATTTAAATCCCACGGAAGCTCACTCAGACACGCAGCGCCCCCCCCCACCTGAACACCCCCCACCCCCCACCCCTGCCCGGGCAGCATCAGCCAGAGCAGGGAAATCGCACACCGCCCCTGCACTAGGAGACCCATTTGAGCATTTGGGTTCGTTTTCTTTTTAATGCGGACTTTTCCTTTATTTAAATTTTCTTCCAGCGTACAAATTCACAAAACTTTCCTGCTACAAAAATTTTGATGAGAAGTAAGGCTTTCTGAGAATGAAGATCTACGTATGATCAGAACAAGCACCCCTGTGGCCTGGATGTTGTGTTTGCCCGCGGGCCCGGGGCCAGGCCCCGGCCTCTGCCGCGAGTAAGGCAAGAGGGTCTGCGGTCATGTAAACGGTGAGGCTTCGGCCCTAACCCCGGCCCGGGCCTGCGAGCAGCCGGCAGCTCCTGTCGGTCGGGCGGCTGTAGAAAATGCTCCTTCTGGAACAGGTGGGGATGCCTCTCCTCTCCTCCCAGCCCTCCCGGAGCCACCACCCTGCTTTTGTCCTTTCGGACCCCCGAGCGGGCAGGCGGACAGGCACAGCCCACCCTCCTGGCTCTGAACTTCCCCCATCTCCCTGCAGGGGCAGGAGGTCGCGGGCACCCACCAGGAGGGGCAGGGCCTGGACAACAGCGGGGAGCCTGTCAGCACACCCGCTGCCCCATGGGGACGGCCACACGCAGAGGGAGCCTCCCGGGCGAGCCTCCCTCCAAGCGCCTCAAGACCGAAGTCCTGGGGTCGGCAGGGTGGGCATACGCTTGACTCCCTGCACAGTGGGGCGGCGCCTCCTGCAGGGGGCCAGCTCTCTCCCAACACGAAATAACTGACGGGCCTTTCTTTCTCTGGGCAGAGGGGACAGTGGCCATTGTCTCCCCCCCCACCCCAACTGCACCGCCGCTGTTGGAGGCTTGGGCTAGGAGCTTCGGTGGGAGTAGGACAGCAGAGAGGGGCCGGTGGAGGCCGGAGGGCCAGATCTTGCCTTGGGCTGCGGTACCTTCTGCCCAAAAGCACCCTGGGACTGGATCTATGGGTCGACGGGACCAGCCTGGGAGGAGGCAGGAAGGATGGGGCCGTTTTGCAAGCTCACAGCTCCGTTCTCGCCACCAGGCCCGAGAAGGGAGGAGGGGGCCGGCAGGCTCTGAAGGCAGGTCACCCACCCCACGGCCCTGTGACACCCCCACTGCCATGTGCTCCCCGCCTGAGCCTGAGGAAAGGCGGCTGGGGGTCACCGCTCAGGCCTACCCGGTTCAGCTCTCGGTCCCTCACCGTGGTGTAGACCAGCGGTCGGGCCCTGCCTCTCCTTCCACAGGAAGGACGGCTCCCCCCGCGGCCACTCGGTGGGGGCGGGGTGCCAGTCCCACCCCCCCCCCCAGGCTTTCCGAGGACACAAGACACCCGCGTGTGCTCTCTAAATTCACAGGCTGCCAGGCTCCTCCGGGTTTGCTCTAAGACGTGGCCTCCGGGACCCACTGGGTGGGCATCAGGGGAGACGGCGTGTGCACCCAGAGCCACCGGCTCCCGGCTCTGGCTCTCCAGGGTCCCCGGGGGACGGGGCTTTGGTGGGGGCCACCGAAGCGTAGCCGGCTCTGGCCCCGGGGCCTGCCCGGCGCCCGCACAACCACCATGCCGTCCACCCTGAGGCCTTTCAACACAACCTCGGAGGGCCACTGAGGGGGGGTTTTCTCTACGAGCACCTTAGGGCCGGTTTTTAAGAAACGCCACCTAGAAACCAGAACCTGAGCGCCAAGCTTCTGATCTAGCGAAGGAGTGAGTCAAGCCGCCCGAAGAAGGCCTTTCGCGAGAACCGTGTGCACTCACGCCGTGGAAGCGAGGCGCTCGCTGTCCACAAGAGACTACGGACGTGCCTTTGTCACACGTCCGCAAACCCAAGAGAAACGCGCCAGTTGTCTTTAGCCCTACGGGGAAAGGAGCCACTTGCCATTGGCTGTGGAAGATGCCAGGTTGGCTACGAGCCAGACTCCGAGAGAGCAGGGCCCACGTGGGGCGTCTGACGGCCAGGCTGCCCGAGAGCAAAACCTCAGGGGGTCGGGGTTCCCCGTGAGCGGGGAGTCCACAGGGGTGCAGGGAGCTGGGGACAGCGCTCTGGGCCTGCGGCAGGGTGGAGGGCAGGGGACGCTCCGCGCACTGCTCCCCCCGCTGGCCAGCAGGGGCGCTCGCCCCGGAGGTGGCTGGTGTGCCTGACCGAAGCCGGCAGCAGTCCCACCAGACAGCGACAGTGTGCTTAGAATTCTGCAGAGGGCCTTGCCGGGCCCCCCCCCCGGGCCCGCCCCCCCCCCCCCCCCGAGCAGCCAACAGGCATCCTCCACCCCCAAAACGTGCACAGGGCCTGGTGTGTGCACCTGCTCCCGGCTCCTGCCTCCTGAGGACGTTTTCGAGAGGTTTCCCGTTACTGGTGACCTCTCTGCACTCACCTGAATCAGCTAAGCTAATCACGCAGTGGCCATTTCGCCACAGAGAATGGTTGCCGCGTGCCAGCCTGCCCAAGCGGCCCCCGGAGTGGCACAGAGCCACGGGGTCAGGCTCTCCGCGCCGCGGGAGAGGCAAGGAGGTCTATCTTCTCGGCCAACATAGCCACCCATGTCCACCCGACGCAGACGCCTCGGACGAGCAGCCCGAGCCGTCCCCCAGGCCCCCAGGGTTCCGGCGTGGAGAGCCCCCTCCCGGCACCCCAGGGGCCTCCGTCTCCCACCCTTGGAATTAAGGCCAAACGGTTCCGGTGTTACTACAGAGGGAAGCATCTCCCGAACCTTCCCAAGTCGGGAGCAGGGATACCTGGGGGAGAAGGCACGGAATAAAACGGAGTGAAAAGAAGCTGTGGGGCCGACCCCCCCCAAAATGAACCTGAGCAGGAGGCCGGGAAGGGCCTGACGCCACCGTATGGCCCTGAGCACAAGCCCCGCAACCAGCCTCCCTGGGAGTCGCACGTGCAGAGCGTCCAGCCCTGCGGGAGATGCGCGAGGCGCCCGGTGGGGTGGCCGGCGAGGAACGGGGGTGGGGAGGGAAGGGGCCCAGACCAAGAAGCTGCTCTCGGGCTCCGGTGGCCCGGTGGACGCGGCCGCCGTGCTGGGAGGAGCCGGGGCGGTCGGCCGCGCGGCGGGGCCAGGCCCACGGGCGGGACAGCCTCTCCGGAGCCAGAGCGCACGCTCCCCGGGACCCGACGCCCCTGGGGAGCTCCCCGGGTGGGGCTCCCCGCTTCAAGTGCCCGCCCGGTGCCCGCTGCCCCTCAGTTGTTCTCTATCTGTTCGATGTCCAACTCGCCGTCCAGGGAGCAGGGGCTGTTCCCGGCCACCCCGCGGTCCCGCCAGGCCGTGGCCGGCCCCCAGCCCCTGCCACAGCCCTCACCCGGGGCACAGCCACCTGACTCCTCGCAGCACTGCTCCTCCTTGCAGGCGAGCTGGTCGTCCAAGGCCGGGGGCAGAGGCTCAGGGACCGGGGTCCCGGCGGGGGTCCTGCCCCCCAGGCTGGAGGCCGAGGCCGAGAGCAAGGCAGTCCAGGACCTGGTGCTGCTGACGTGGAGGGCGAAGGGGCTGTGCGGGCCGCAGTCGTCCATCCCCGCACTCAGGCAGCTGAGGCTGCTGAAGGTCTGACAGTTCTGTGGGGAGACAGACACACAGGTCACTAAGGATCACGTGCCTGTCCCATAACCCAAGGACCGCACGCCCCAGACAGCCAGGCCGCAGCTCCCAGCGCTACCTGGCGATGGGTCCTCCGGGCGGTGGGAGCCCACCAAAGCCTAGACGCCCCCATCACCTGGACAAGGAAGACGGGCCATCGGCAGGTCGGTACGAACAGTCGTTAACAGAGACACCGAATCCAGTCATTCGCCCACAAATTAGGAAAGAGTCTGAGCTTGGACCACCCAGCCCTAGGGCAGGCCGAGACCCCTGCGAGGACCACCTTTCTGAAAGGTGGTCTGATAAAAGTGTACCCCATTCCTCAGCAGGCAATTTCGCTTCTGGGATTTCTATCTTCAGAAAACAATTTAGGATGCATGCAAAAATTTACCAAAATGATTTTCCTCGTCACACTGTTGGGTTGAAAAGAAGAGAGTACCTCAAATACCCCACGATGAAACGTTCCGTGAAGCATGTCTCTGCAGACAAGGGGAGGCTAAGGCTCTTTGGCCTTAGAAGGAACACCTCCAGAGTGAATTTCCAGACCGAGTAAGAACCTCGTCAGGCTGCAGGACCACACAGAGGGCTCTACTGCTCACCCCCCGACTCAACCATGATCGGGAGTGGGAGACGGGGCCAGGAGGGTAGAGCTGAGGTCCCAGCCCGGTGCACATGCCAGCCATCCGGGGACGTGGTTTCCATGGGAGCCTGAGCCCTGCCTGGAGATGTGGATTCTCCAGCGGGGGTTGGGCCCCCGTGCCCTTGACAAGCACTCGATGGCAGATGCCACAGCTCTTCTGGAGGGGAGGCTGGGGGGCCTCAAGCAGACCCTTCAGCCTCCCCGGCCTCACCTGTTAAGAGGCAATGGTCTATACCTGTCCTACAGGGCTCTTGGAAGGGCCCAGAAAGCGTGGCTGCCAACAGCTCCCTCTGTGTGGGGCCAGCCTGGTGCCTCCCCGAGTGGCAGGTGCAGCTTAAACCGGATCCAAGGTGCTTGGGGACACCTGTTCTCCAGACGGGGCAGGCCCAGCCCTGTGCACAAGTGGGTTAGCCTGACTGCCCGCTTTCATGACAGCAAAAATCAGGGCAGAGGGCTGTGATGGATAGAGGTGCCCACGGTCTAGCCCTGGGGACCCCCCCCCCCCCACAGGACCGGCAGCAATGCGGTCTCTCTTCAGAGGGGACTCGAGAGAAGAGATGTGCTGGAGGGCAGGAGAGAGGGCCCTGCATGCTGCGGGACACAGGGGAATGAGGGCAGGGTTCTGGAACACCAAGATCACAGGCCGCAGTGTTCGTAGGTCACTCTGAAATAAAGATGACCACCGGCTGTCACGGTGAACAAGCTACAGAAACGGGCTCAGCAAAAGGAAAAAAAAAGCTCTCTCTGGAGGAAGGTGGCTGTGCCTGTCGCGTGCACACTCATTGTTCCTGAACGCTCCAGAGCAAACCATTCTGATGGGTTTGCTTTTCTTGGAATCTTTTGATTAACTGAGAAAGGTGAAGGCTGGGGTGCTGGGGGTAGGGGAGGCCTCCGGGTAAGAGGGCTAGGATTGAGGAGAGAGGGGCCGGGCCACCGATCAGACCCGTGATGCTGGCCCAGGCCGTGGTGGAAACACCCTTCACCCCATCCGCCCCAGTCACGACCCCACCCCAGACTGGCCCCGGGCCTGGGCCGCCGTGGGGTTCAACGAGGCCTCAGTCTGCACAGTGCACACTCCCTATCCCGTCACAGTGCAGGGCTGGAGACACACGCTCCCAGATCACAACACAGCCTGACTCTTGGCGGGTGGGGGCCCCAAATGCCTGCAACGGGAGGGTCTCTGGGGCCCGTGCTGCCTCCCAGCCATTCTCCTGTCCTGTCTGGACCTGAGCCAGGACAAGAGAACTGGGTAGGGGGCATGAGACAGAAGGCAGATGGCCTTGCCCGGACAGGGGTGTCCACCTTCCCCCCCAGCCTGTGTCCCCAGCTGCCCTGGGCAAAGGAGGCACAGGAACACAGTGAGGACAGGTCAGGGAGCCCTGGCACCTGGGGAGCCAGACCCAGCGCCCCCACCCCACTGAGCAGTCTGTTTCTTTGACCTACAGGAGGTCCAGCACACAAGAATCGGGACACCTGGGTGGCTCAGTCGGTTGAGCATCCGACTTCAGCTCAGGTCGTGATCTCACGGTTTGTGGGTTCGAGCCCCGCGTCAGGCTCTGTGCTGATAGCTCAGAGCCTGGAGCCTGTTTCGGATTCTGTGTCTCCTCTCTCTGCCCCCACCCCCCTCATGCTCTGTCTCTCTCAAAAGTAAGTAAATGTTAAAAAAAAAAAAATTAAAAAAAAAAGTACCCCCTGCACAGTGATGGGACTCCTGTTACAAAATAACAATGTCTGCTCACCCCAGTGTGCGGAACACCTGAACAGGTGGTGCTGTCTCCTGGGAGCTGTAACCTGGAAACGGTGGGAAGCACTGGCATAAACCTGGACAGGAAACGTTCACCTTCCCAAGCTGCTCGGGCCACCCCGCCTGACCCGGTGGATTAAAGGTGCAGGCGGGGAAGGGTGCAGGGCTCTGCGCCTGACTTTACGGCAAATGTCTCGGGGTGTGTCTGGGCACTAATCATGTTAAACATTAGCCACATCGCCAGCAGGGTGCTGGGGACCCCGGTTTGCTGGGACCTTTCAGCTTTTGCCTCAAGTATTCCCTAGAGAGAGCTGAGGTCAGACAGACTGCGAGAGTCCTGGGCTCTGCCCCGAATCCCAAGACTTCAGACAGATGCTCCAACCCATGGACCTCAGCGCGCCTGCTCTGTCAAGGGCGGCCAAGGGCACCTGGGTCTACCCTGCTCCAGTGTCTGGAATAACTGGGCCCTTTCTGCTTTGAAACAGGGCAAGAAGCCGCCAGGTTTGATTGGTGAATATCATCCCAAGCAAAGCCCAGGTTGTCACTGAACCCCACCCAATAGTCCCCAAAGGCACCTGCCCCTTGGCTGCAAAGCCAGTGTCACCTTGAAAGCTTTGTTGACTCAAACTCAGCCATCTGAGCCACAGCAAAAGCCAAGACCAGCCCGCTGAATGCCACAGCTGGTGGCACGCCCCACCCGCCAAGGAAGAATGTGACTGACACAACGAGGCAGTGTGTGTCCTGCCCAGACTCCCCCCTGCCCCCGGGTGAGCCGACCCAATGCCTGCAGACACCCAGGGCGTACGGCTCCCTTGTGCCCACCATGCCCTGGGGGCAGAGTCCCGCCCAGCCTCTCTCCCGGCAACTCACGCGACAGGACGCTGCACGGGCCTGTTGGAGGCCTGGAGGCCTGTGTGCCCTCAAAAATGTCTGCCCCAAACTCTGTTCTCTTCAGGCCCAGCCCTGGCCCAGGAACTGGCCCCCGACTTGGGCACAAGCCTGCTCAGGTCGCAAAGATCAGAAAGAGTGATCAGTGTGGCCTCAGGCCAGTGGCCGGGAACAGTGCTTAGCACCCCAGTGCTAGAGTCTGGGGCGACTTCAGAAAGGAGCCCCTAAATGTCAAGATGTTCCCATCAGACCTGCCAGACCTCAGCTCTAGCCAGCCACATTCCAGCCTGCCCCCGCCCGTCTTCCCAGGGCTTCCCAGCCCGGAACCGGGGCGGCGGCCCGCCGCCATGCCCTGTCTGTGCAGATACTCACTCCTACACCCTCCTGTGTGGGAGCCCCCCGGCCCAGCTCTGGGGACAGAGACAAAGGTCCTCGCCCTCTGCGGTGCACCCCTGGCACAACTCTGCGTGATCCTCACAGACGGAGACCCATCAGACCCTGGGCGGCAGCAGCCTCTCCACGCCCAGGCCCCTACCCCTAACCCACGCTGTGATGAGTCCGGCGAAGGCACAGCCCCTCCAGCTGACAGCATCTCAGGCTGGAGCTCCAAGCTGAAGCCCACATCCCCCCTCGGGGAAACTCCGCTAGCTCAACAGACACCTGGCCCCATCTTGCTGCACACGCCGACTTGGGCCCACGAGCTCACTCCCCTCCTCCGGGGCTACTGCTCTGCTGCCAGCCTGGAGGGGCACGAGGGAGGCCTCCAGAATCATCCGCTAGCCGAACTGCACCACACGCTTTATCAAGAACAGCCCAGGGCATAAGGCTGGTGGTGGGACAACAGACTTCTCCCGAGAACGGGCGGAGGCTGGAGGTTGTGGGGGGCCCCGTGGATGAGGACGGGGCCCAGGTAGGCTGTCGGAGTGCCGTGTCCCCATTCTCCTGACGGTCCCACCCCGAGGGGGCCAGGTGGGTTTTCTCATTCCCGCCTCCCTGGGCCCCTGAACGCAGAAGGCCTGACGGAGGAGCTCGGACAGAGCTGCTGGACCTGGAAGAACTGGGCCCAAGTCTAGGTCCCCCACTGCTGACCCTCCAGGACAGGAACCCGGGTCCCGCTCAGAGGCTGACCCCAGAGTCCCGACAGTGGAGCTGGCCTCCCGGGCGTTTGCTGGGGAGGAGCAGTTGCCGGGGCCCCTCTCCTTGGACGTTCTGTGTCCTGAGCACAGCGCCCACGGGAAGCCGCCCTGAGCATCGAGCCGGGGCAAACCCACCTCCCAGCGGTGCACCCCTGTCCAGAGGGGAGGAGGCAGAGCCCCTCCACTCCTACCGCTGCCCGTGTCCTTCCAGATGGACTTCTGCTTCTCCTCCTGTTAATTCCGCCTTCCTCTTTTGAATCCAATTTTACAGACCTCTTTGTGTGACACATTTTTAGGGCGTCATCTCAAATCCCTCCAGAAAGAGGGACATAAACAGCTCCAACCTACGAGTCAGGATGATCAGACCCGGTCCCCGTCCTGGCCTGAGTTTCCAGGAGCCCGGCGGCCGTTCTGAAGTTCTGGGCTCAAGGCTCTGCCTAAGCAGAGGCATTTCCTCCCCCAGAGAGACATTTTCATGGGAACAGAACTCTCTGAGTATCAAGAAAACACCAGGCCACGAGAATGGCGAGCGGCCTAGAAATTTTCTAAGTCTCATTTATGCTGGAAGTT